AACTTCTAAAACATGTAATTTCATTACATTGGAAATGTTAATGCTACTGATAAAAGTGTATGTGATTCAAATAGACCGTTCGGTAATAGCTGTGATTTGGTTTCATTGATAACAGTAACGAGGAATACGTACTCCGCTTCACATTTCGTTTTCGATACACTATTTGTCAGACACTGAAAACTCACCAATGTCAAGGCCATTTGTCCCAGTAGACAGAACATGTCAGGACGCTCTCTTTGCGAAACGCCATCACCAAACAACTTAAAAGTAATGAACATGATTTCTCACCTGCCCTTGATTGTCTGTGCTTTTATCTTAGTCGTTATTTAAGTACTATGTTTGCATATGTATAGTTAGAGGCGACTAATGAGAGACCCTCTGTAGACTTTTCTTCTAAGAGAACATCAAAGAGACCAACATTGTTTGCTGCCCCTTATGCAATTTTGGGATCTTTATCGTATCCTACCTCCCCTGTCTACTTTCTCTTTCCGGCGTTGTCTCCCTTGGTACCCGTTCCCATGTAACCCTGGTTGTTGCGACGACGTTAAACCCCGATACACAAGTGATTTTATTAATTATGTGTTTTGGGCAGGTGACATGGGCTCATATTGTCTGCGTCGGTTTAATAATATTTTCTGAGCCTAAGAATGTTCATGTAGACACACAGTCAATTGCATCTATCCCCTTGGCAAGCGTGGTTATATTACCAGACTAGCCTAGCTCGCGCTTCCATATTACCCGACTAGAATCACAGCCAAATCTTGCAGTGTCACACAAGTCAATATATACTGTCCTTGTTCGTAAGGGATGTGATCTAAACTACCTGATCGTCAAAGATTTGTAGGAACTGTAGTTATTCTGATTTGTGGAGTTCGTTTATAATGAGAAGTACGGAATTGTGTGTCTGTGAGTGGTCGGGAAGCGCAGTGGATATCGCACTTGCCTTTTACCAAGACGGTCGCGGTTCGATTCCCCGATCGCATTATGGAAGATATGGGATCACCTGCCAGACCAGGTGGGCTTTCTCCGGGCACTTCTTTTCCTCTCACAAAAAGAATGTCTTCTAGCTTCTATCTGGGCCAAAACCCAATATCATCATAACAAGTAATATAGGTTGATAGAACTTGTTTCATAATTGTTGTTAAAATCACAGTGCCCATACGCCGCGATGGCAAAGTGGTTAAGGCGCCTGACATTCTTCTACCACTAGCCCTCCACCACTTGGTCGCGGGTTCGAGACCTACGTGGGGCAGTCGTCAGGTACTGGCCGCAAGTCGGTGTATTTTTCTCCGGGAACTCCGGCTTTCCTCCACCACCACCAAAACCTGACACGTCCTTAAATGACCATAGCTGTTAATAGGACGTAAAACACAAACAAACCAAACTAAACTTTCCCACAGTAATACCAGCTCTCCAGCTACCCTGTTGTAAATTTAGCCCTGTCGTCTGTAGTATTTTAGCACTTGTCACCTTTGCATAATTACCTGTATGGATTACCTTTACAATATGCTTTATGTGAATGACACAATGTTTACCTGTTTCGTACTCAGACTTTTGAAGTGAGTCAGCTTTAATCAGAACCAATAGAAAAACATGAAGTGATTATTATGGGGGCATTTCCCATGGCCTTACAGGATAATTATTATTTTTAAAGAACACTACAGGAGATAGCTATAGCGAATGAATCACTGGTGTTCCAAATACACTTCATTGCCAGACCGAGTTTCTTATCATTCTGAAAAACTAATAGAGCGTGCGACAGTGTCTTTAAGTCCTTTCTCTCGTCAGCACTAAATAATACTGACAACGAACTTTTTAAGGAAATTGATGTCGGTTCTAACAGCTTATTTTAACACCCGACTATAAATAAACCATTTGGAGTTTAAAATTCGCCAATACAAAAACAGGTTATGTTACAGTGCTGAACTAATAAGCTATATATTATATATATGCAATTTGTGTTTTTAAAGTTTATTTTAGGAGGATAAAAGACGAGTGATAATGTGCTTACTGCAGTAAAATTAAGATTTCTTTAAATTGGATAATTTTTGACAACGGTATAATGGTTATTAGTTATTTAAATCAGAAGTCCCATGGAAAAATGGACACATACAGTTTACAGAATGATCTATTTTTAGAAGAAAAAAACGGTAAAACTCTTAAACGCTCAATCTACAACCGTTTATGTCCTGTAATTGGTGTGAAATCCAGCTAGCCTTTTTAAAGGGATTGAACGCATATATGTGGAATTTTAGAACACATATCACGTTCTCGAATCTCTCCCATGAGCTAACTGCCCATCTCGACAGACATATGTTTTAGTGTTATAGAAAGGCTTCTCCCATCCAGACCAATACTGATATGGAAGCACTAGAATTGTATATAACTTTTTGTTGTCACCAGAAAGAAAACAGCAAGGGTTCAAATATACTGTACTTCACATTAAAGTTAATTTTTACCCTTTAGATCTTCATGTATTTTCATCTATTAAGTACTTCTTTTCAAATCCTTAAGCGTTTTGACCCGTTGCTTTAAAACGATTCACGACAATCGACCTATCATTTCTATTACATGGACTAGAAAACAAACTTGGAGTGTATGTACATTCTTCAGCAATAAGTCATTGAGTAAGTAGACTTTTATACCTCTTGATGTTGTACAACATAATATTTGTCATTATTAACTGGGCGGTACTCGTGGAGCTTTGTCCTGGTACTCAGGAAGGAGGGTAAATATTGACTCACGATACACAATTCAGCGGTAACATGATGTCACAAGATTTATCACATACTCTACAGACCGATTATAAGGAACGAGTTTAGAAAGATATATGTAGTAGATTTCGCTTAATATCATGCCTCATTTTTCAGATGGAAAATGATATTAACAGGAACGTGACATAAACCGAAAACGTGTTTTTCTCTCATTTTTTTCATCTGTCTAAACCCGAAAGTGATCATATCTATATGTCCAAGTGATATGGTTCTACAAAGAGATGGTTTGATAAAGATACATGTAACTGACGCGGCTTTTTGGCATGTATGTGAAGGTTATCAAGAATTATTAATATAATGATATGTTCTGTGGTGAATTGGTTTATATCTTATAAGCGATACTGCACGAGTGTGGCAATATATACTAAGGAGTATAGTCTATGATGTCTATAATTTTATAATGAAAAAGGTTTCGTTGTCAACGTCTAGTAGCTGGCCGATTCTATTTGCTGCTCTATTAATTAAAAATCAAGCCTAAAACTTAAAAAAAGAAATTTTAAATTTAAATGTCATTAACTGTCAAAATCAATGGAAAATGTAAGTATTTAACTGCAATCTGTTCCGAGTTATAGTCCCATTTTTATGAAAAAGGATTGCAGGCAAATCGGAAACTGCGCTTTACTAGCTGATTGCAAATCCTGTAAAATCGAAATAGTTCATCCTATAACCGCGGAAATGAGTTCCCACGAATAAGGTATGTAATGCAGAATGGGAAATACGATAGAATATGCATAACAACTATAAAGAACACAAGGCCTGTCTATCATGTACATTGGCTATGTTATCTGATAATCTCACACAGGATCAGGCACATCTGGGTCTCATTTACCCAATTACAATAAAACTCACGTGAAATAACTATTTTAGTCACATTGTCGAATTCGGATGGATCCTTCCCTCCCATCGGCGTTTTATTTGTGGAAATTAGTAGAAATAATAATTAAAACCGTAAAAATAACAAAAGAAATCAGACACAGAGAAAATAGCTGATAGAAGATATTTTACAATACAGCATTTTAGTGTATCAATTCCAAGAGTTCTTTCATGTCCCTAGGTTCACACATTGACATCATAGCTATCGAAATTGAGGTTTCCGGATATTATAGTACCGTAATATGTTTTTATATATTTCATATATTAATCCAGATGTTCCGGATCGACACGTCGTTTAGTCGCAATCTTCGCAGACGACACAATGTATCATGAACCATCACAGTCACTGAGCTCATCATTGCACTTCGGTAAATTGACAATACACCCTTTAAGAACTACAAGTAACATCGCATTAACGAATGGAATTATCACTGGTTGGAATCGACGAACTCATAAAAAGTATGAAAACGAAAGTAGAGAGTTGTTCCAGAGAAAGGGCGAGAGTTTTGAAACTGTTCTCGGAGCCTAAAAAGGGACTGTCGGTCGAACGCTGACCCCGGCACCTTCAATGTCACGCTCAGCAGGCCCCTGGTCAAAACCTGACTCACGCAAAAGTCATGGTGTGTATTTGGCAGTGATCAGGTTGGCACAAATTGGCTTAAGGACTATATGGTAAAAGATTGTACATGACATATACGAAGTTAAAAACACTGACATTATTGTCAAAATCAGTGTCTCTGAAATTCGAGAAAAGTTTCTTAACGATCTTTTAGAAGATAATCTACGATTGCTTTGGTTAAAATATTGAAAATGCTTTCTTTATTTCTATATTTGCAAGCATTTCTACGGCTTCAGAGTAAGCGAAAGAGGATGATTCCCACCGCCCTTACCCCATCTGGCCTTCTCCTGTGTACCTTTCTCAAATCATGTACTCGTGCTTGAGTTAGGTTAATTATTCTGCCATATGGCGTGTGGGTGATTGCAAATAAAAAAACCCACCTAAAACATGTAAATAGATCAACAAAAACTAAACAAATCACAAAAAAATGAAGAGAGAAACGTCTTAACATTGCAACCTACAAAGAAAAATAAATGAATAATCTACAGTTTACGTCAGATGTCTTATAATCTGTCCTTGAGCGTCAACAGGTTCATTTCCAAAACTGTCATACGTCAAATCACGGCATACTTCTATAAATATATACCATAAAGGCCTAACGACTCATTACACGGATACAGAGTAAAGGACAGGGCTCTTTAAGCAACGTAAGTCAATAAATTAATCAATCGATTACTGTGTAAACGAGGGGACGATACGACCGGAGTTAGTGTTATTGTCTACGTGTTACTTACTTGTGTTAAGTATTAAGTCATCCACAATCAGACACTATCACCAGCCGGTGCCGAAATGTCCAACAGAGAAAAAATTATGACACAGACATTTACTAATCCGCTGTGATTCCGCTCCATATTTTCCGACAGGTAGTTGTGGTAGTAATTAGTAGACTTTTTTAACACGGTGGAAAGTTCGCGGGAGTGCCTGTGTATCGTATCGCTGGAAAAATAGCTATAATTCTCATACGCTCCATTGCTTAGCACTGCATGGCAGAGAGCGCCAGCAGAGAGTTTGAACGGCAAACTATTGTCTATGGTGGCCTATACTTGACACGTCAGGTACGCATATGTAACACGATAGAATAAACTATACGGATGCCTATCAGTGACTAGGCACGTATGTGTTAAACCAATGTCTACAGAAGACTATAGGTGATAAGTCGTGTACGTATTTACCATTTGTCTCAGAGGCATTTAGATCACAAGTCGAGTTAGTATTGAATCATTGTCTAAACAGAAGCCTACAATGGCCTACAGATGGCTGATAAGTCATGTACGAGTCTACGGAGGCCAACAGATACCAAGCTATGTTGAAGCATTTTCTATGGAAACCCATATATGACAAGTCGTACGCATACCATTTTCTATGAAAGATTAAAGGTGACCAGTCGTGCACGTGATATAATTGTATAAGGAGGCCCATGAGTGAAAAGACTTGCGCGTGTTTATAAATATCTACGGAAGACCACAGGCGACATATCTCACAGGTGTTTTTTTCAGTTACTACGGAAGACCACAGCCGACATATCTCACAGGTGTTCTTTTCAGTTTCTACGGAAGACCACAGCCGGCATATCTCACAGGTGTTCTTTTCAGTTTCTACGGAAGACCACAGGCGACAAATCTCACAGGTCCATAGCTGACGTATTTAACTATTGGTTAAAAGAGGTTTAGACATGATAAGTCGAGTACGCGTTTACCATTTTCTACGAAGGCTCATACGTGACAAGTAATGTGCGTACATGGTTAGATGGGTACATTTCATGTATGGAGTTCTATACGTGACAGCAGGTACATGTTTAACCCATCAGACACATAATTTTCATCTATGGAGTTCTATACGTGACAGCAGGTACATGTTTAACCCATTAGACAAATTATTAGCTATTGAATCTAATTGATGACGTGACAGACACAATCTTCTCTAATGAAGCTTATAGTTGACATGTCAGCTACACTGAACACGACAGACATTCGTGGAAATTCTGATCGCTTGATAGATTTAATTAAATCTCGAACACGTGTGATTTTCAGTAATTGATTATATTTCTTTTCATGGTAAATTCATCTTGTAACGAGAATGCCTGCTCAAAAGAAAACTAAAATATCAATCTTTTTGACCAAAGCTTTAAGTATTGACAATAGATTGGCAGCCAAGATATCTGAGTTAAATTGACCGAAACTGTATGTTCACGGAACTTCTGATATAAATTATATTGCTTTCAGGAAATACAGTCAAGAAAGCTCAAATATCAGTTATATGCCTCTTATAGTTAATAAAACATCAAATAAAGTGCTTCCGATTGGCTGGGAGACCTCTGACAATTATGGAATGATATGCCATAATTTCTGGATTTGCTAAATCCGGTGAGTTTCCAAATCTAAAATTAGAAATACTTATAGGAAAAACAAATATGGGCTTTTTAATAGGTGAAATGCTGTGAAATTGGCTGAAGAAACATGTATTGACCGAGGCGATAGCAGCCCCGGTCTTTATATATTTTCTGTGGTGAATATTACTGCACATTCACCGAGGGAACGGTCATAATTGTATATTATTATTAATAAATATTATATGCTTGAATATTTCTCGCAATCACATTGGTCTTGTCCTTTACAAGTGATTAGTCCTCAAAAACTCATCTAGACTGGTTTTCCCATGAATGTCGATTTCTATATATAGCATATAGGGAAATTCCCCGGAACCTGTCGTAACGCATGCTCAGTTAGAACGGAACGCGATCTGTCAGACGACAACAGAGGATGGCTGCTTCGCCTCAGTCAATATCGCTTCTTCATGTTCATATTACATCATATTCACCAGTAAAATGTCCATAATTGTATAACATTGACCCAGATTATCAGTTCAGAAATGCTCAAATTTCCTTTATATTTTAACCCCAGATTACTAAACTTACAATGTTATTTATTAGAGTCCCGATGTTAGTTTTAAAGAATCTCGACTCTCAATCCTATTAATTAAAACGTTTGTCTTAAATTCTGCACTGTCCGTCCTTATGAACCACTAATGCTAGTCCCGTGGAACTTCGACTTTTATAGTGTTATAGGAATGCTATTTGTATTGAGTTTCTTCTGTTAGGGATACTTGTCCCACAGTAGAAAAAAACGCAAGAGAATTCCACTTTAATTTTGATACATATTTAGTAACCTGTAGTCTGACTTGTACAGGTAGCTTAGTCATTTAGAGCACGGACTTAGATAATCTAATTCCGTGATTAGAGGGGCAGAGTAATGCTCTGAGATCAAAGGTTCGAATCCTATTATCTGGCCCTGTTGTATTCTACACTTAGGACACTGTTGTTGTTATTATTGTTTATTAATCTTTTTCATACGTCAATAATATTGTTATACACCCGTAGTTAAATGTATGAACTGAATATACTTTCTGAATTTAATAATTAATTACCAAATAAATGTTGTGAACAAACGTAATTATTCTAAATGGGAATATATACATTTAATTTTCACCTAACCTACTAGACTAATGATTAATGTTATTCAAATAACCACTAAGATAGTACTGCGTATGTCCATGCTCTTGTCAGAAACTGTTAAAACCGTACTGAGCTAACAGCAGAGGATCTTTTAAGTCCTAAGGTCAGAAAAAAGTCTGTGCATCTGTATATAAAAGTCTGTGTATCTGTGTATAAAAGTCTGTGTATCTGTGTATAAAAGTATGTGTATCTGTGTATAAAAGTCTGTGTATCTGTGTATAAAAGCCTGTGTATCTGTGTATAAAAGCCTGTGTATCTGTGTATAAAAGTCTGTGTATATGTGTATAAAAGTCTGTGTATCTGTGTATAAAAAGTCTGTGTATCTGTCTGTGTATCTGTCCCTCACGTTATGCTTTTCTTTCCATAAATGATATACCAAAGCTATAGTCATGTTGTAAAAGTTTCCAGAGGATGTTACATTTTAAGCAACGGCAGGAGGATCCTTAATTTCTGTATACACCTATGGAGCCTCCTCCCAGAAATAGGTCACCACTGCAGACCGCTCCGTAAAAGGGACGAGGTCTAGGTATACGGCCCTAATGTACTGTAGTAAAACAACGTAATTGTACCTCACACTGAGCCATGGCTTAAGCGGACATAAATAGCAACACTGATTGATACCATTAAACAATTAAGTAGTACACTGCACGTGAGCTTACCTAACGGTGATATGTCGGGTCACGTGACCTGTAACCAATTACAGAACGAAAGTTCATAAAACCACCCTTGTGATGTGCGATCTGTTGCATGAAGATATACTTCGACTAGATCAGTAGATCTGTCCTAAATTGTACTGTCAAAGGGAAACTTATACAGGCAAAGAGAGACTTATACAGTCAAAGAAAGAAACTTATACAGTCAAAGAGAGAAACTTATACAGTCAAAGAAAGAAACTTATACAGTCAAAGAGAGAACTTATACAGGCAAAGAGAAACTTATACAGTCAAAGAGAGAAACTTATACAGGCAAAGAGAGACTTATACACACAAAGAAAGAAACTTATACAGTCAAAGAGAGAAAATTATACAGTCAAAGGGAAACTTATTCAGTCAAAGAGAGAAACTTATCCAGGCAAAGAGAGACTTATACACACAAAGAAAGAAACTTATACAGTCAAAGAGAGAAACGTATACAGTCAGAGGGAAACTTATACAGTCAAAGAGAGAAACTTATACAGGCAAAGAGAGACTTATACACAAAGAAAGAAACTTATACAGTCAAAAAGAGAAACTTATACAGTCAAAGGGAAACTTATACAGTCAAAGAGAGAAACTTATACAGGCAAAGAGAGACTTATACACACAAAGAAAGAAACTTATACAGTCAAAGAGAGAAACGTATACAGTCAGAGGGGCACTTATACAGGCAAAGAGAGAAACTTATACAGGCAAAGAGAGACTTATACACAAAGAAAGAAATTTATGCAGTCAAAAAGGGAAACTTATAACTTATAGTCAAAGAGAAAAACTTATACAGGCAAAGGGAAACTTATACAGTCAAAGAGAAAAACTTATCCAGTCAAGAGGAAAATATTACAGTCAAAGAGAGAAACTTATACAGTCAAAGGGAAATTTTACAGTCAAACAGAAACGTATATAGTCAAAGGGAAAATCAAATGGAAATTTATACTTTAGAAGGAATGTTTTGCTATCAAAGAGTCACTGTCAATGGTAACCCTATACATCCAATGGGAAATATATACCTCAAAAAAAGTACACTGTCAATGGTAACCCTATACATCCAATGGGAAATATATACCTCCAAAAAAGTATACTGTCAATGGTAACCATATACATACAATGGGAAATAAATACCTCAAAAAAAGTATACTGTCAATGGTAACCATATACATCCAATGGGAAATATATACCCCCAAAAAAGCATACTGTCAATGGTAACCATACACATCCAATGGGAAATATATACCCCCAAAAAAGCATACTGTCAATGGTAACCATATACATCAAATGGGAAATATATACCTCAAAACAAGTACACTGTCAATGGTAACCATATACATCAAATGGGAAATATATACCTCAAAACAAGTACACTGCCAATGGTAACCATATACATCCAATGGGAATATATACCTCAAATACCACTGTCAATGGTAACCCTATACATCCAATGGGAAATATATAACTCATCAAAATAATACTGTCAATGGGAAACGTTAACAACCGAATGGGCTCTTATACCGTCAAACGGATTTTATTATTTCAAAAGAAATCTTACACTAACAACGGAAATACTATACTGCCAAAGGAAACAATATACTGTCAAAAAGAAAACAATACCATCGACATTAACTTATACTGTCAGAATGAATTGACGTGTATACTGTCGAAAAGAAACGTTTGCTGTTATAGGAAATCCTTTACACTGTCAAGGGGAAAGTTATACGGTCTAAGGGACTGAATTTGTCCTTAATTGGTTTTGCCATTATATGCGTTTTTATCATAAACGTATTAAAGTTCGCATGTACGTTCATAAACATATTGGCATTCACATACATATACATACACTGTATAGGCATACAAATAAACGTTTTATGCATTAAATTTCACATCCAGTGCAAGTCCCAAAGAATTGTTTTTGTTTTGT